CCCCACCACCCCGTGCTGGGAAGAGCCTGGCACAGCCCTGGTTCCAGCCTGCAGTCTGCCCCACCCAGATCTGGGGGCACATTTCCCCATGCTCTCCTGGATTGTGTGCAGTGGTGGGAGCCACTCCACCCCATACTCCCTGGACAAGCCGCAGCTCTGTCCTGTGCCCCACCCTGGCTGGGCAGCACCTGCCCCAGCCCCACTCTCCCTCAACACAGGGGCCTTGATCTGCCCCCCACCCCTTATCTTCTACCACAGATTTACCAGCTGCACAGCTCTCCTTGCTGCCAGGCTGTGCTCCTTGCCACCTATGTGCTGCACTGCAGCTAAGTGCATGCGCAGGGCATTTAATCAGCCACATTATCAGTCACATCAGGCCAATTTCTGACAGTCAATTTTCTTTATATTAGTGCCAACCCAATATCAGACCGATGCATCTGTGCACCTCTACTGTTAAGTCTTCCAGCCACAGCCTACTGGCATGATACTTTTAAGGATTCTTCAGTGAACTGTAACCAAGTAAGCAACAAGTATCTCTGTGTACTCAATACATGTGCTAACCAACTAAAATTAGTACCAATACACTAGCACATGCCAGTCTTACTTTTATTTTATTTTGTAAAAAAATACAACAAGTTTCTGTAAACAGGATTAATGAAACAAGATATACCTATTTGTTTAAGTGACATATAGTCTTACCTTTGCAATAATTTCTGAAATATTCTTCAGGGACTGCTTGATTGGATACTTGGCCATATCCCACTGGAACCTTGTTATATAGGTGACCAAGTCAACTAAAAAAGGTGGAAGAATAACAGCGTTACACACAACAGTAAAAAGCACAGACTTTGATAAGTTGCTTGTTTTCTGCATTGTCTCTCATGTCACAGAGTAATGGTCTACAAACTTTCAAACACTGACCCTATTGCACACACTATTGTGGTAGAAGAATTTTGGATATTATAAACTCAGGGATACTTTGGTTTCTTATATTCAGATACCAGCTCCTGTACATCTGCAAACTCTTAAGATGGATCATGAAATGTGCCAATAACAATTTCAGAAGCAGCAAAGTAATGACAAAAATAGTATTTCTGTGCAACATCAACAGCACAAGTCTTGCTCTGAACAGAAGCATTTTTTCCCCCAATTTCAAAGTTCATTTGGTGCTCAGCTACAGCAGCAGTTACATACATCTCTAGCTGGATGTGTAGGTGGCTCAAGCATGAATTGGATATTTTTCAATTAGTATCCAGCAGACATTCATTTTAAGTGCCTTTAGTGTTTACCTTTGGCATCACTATTAGATATTAATAATTAATTAAAATGTCAGATTAGTTATTTCTGGAGAAAGAATGCCAATTCAAGGGATCATTGCATTATTCCAGTATGGACCAGCATTCAGTTTCTAAAAGGTAGCTAACAAGCTTTCTACAAAAGCCTACTTGAGAGTTAGGAAACTCTTACTCCCCTCTACCTTACATAAAGATCTTGTGAGCAAGCATCAAATAGACACATTTTAATACAAGGTATAGTTAATATCACAATAAAAGATGCAGTATTAAAATAAAGGAGAAACAAGACTAAACTGGTGATGACTTGAACATACAAAACTTTAAAAAAGAAAAAAAAAGGAAAAGCTTTTTTAGGAGTGGATGTTTAACAGGTATCTGAAACCAGCTCTCACTTTTGGAGTTTTTTCCTCTTTTGGGATAAATGACTTGGAGCCAGCTAAAGCATTGCCATGTTTACCTTGAATTCACAATATTTTACATTAAGAAGTAGAATTAGGTCTGCAGAAAAAGCAACAGCAAATCTTGAAACATCGTCCAGAATAAAGGTAACACTTCTCACCTCCATTAGCCAAGAGATTTTCCTGAACTTTATCTTTACTGTCTTCCAAAACATCAGCCATATATTGTGCCACCTTCTTGACTACACTGGAGAAACAAGACAGAGTAATAAAACATTAGGAATAGCTTTGAGAATGAAAAAAGCGCTAGTGTCTCATTCAAATGTCAGAAAACTAATTCCATGGAGTCAAAGCAATGTGATATAATTATTTTGATAAGATAAAAACTATATTTAAAGGTTAGATCAAATTATAAAAGGTTTGTTTGTGCTCATAGAAAGCTCAGAGTAGAAGCTATAAAGTTTTGTATAGGAAGTATGTATTTTTTCTAAATGGTTCTAGACGTGTATTTGTTTTGATTATAGGGTTTTTATCATGCTTGCCAGCAGATTTAACAAAAATAATGGAAAGCTTTTACTTCAGAACAACAGTGTAAGGTGCCAAATCATACTGAAGTTCAATACAATTTGGATGCCTAACTCCCTTAAGGTCTTCTCTTTTTTCAGGGGAAAGAAGTAGGGAATATATATATGTACAGGCATACGCCATTTTATTGCGCTTCGCAGATATTGCATTTTTTTT